TGTTGTGTGTGTGTGTGTGTGTGTGTGTGTGTGTGTGTGTGTGTGTGTGTGTGTGTTCTGCAAACCTGTATCATGTTGTACCTTGCCATATAGCAGAAAATTGGATAACAAAGAACAACAAAGAACTACAGGACAAGGGGAAAAATGTTTTGTTTGGCTTTTTTTTTTTTTTTTAGCTTACTTTCAGTTGTTCCAGATCAAACTCTGAATCTAGTACATTCTTCACTGGCCTTCCACGATCGATGTCAAGAATCAAATCGAGAGCTTGGGAACATTCCTTTGCTCTTTGCCGTACCTAATGTGATTATTAGAAGAAGGAAATGACCATGTAAAAAGTTGCAACATTTACTTTAAAGTTTGTGTAGAGGTTGCACGTGGTTGATAAAAATTGGTGATAAACTGGGAATGTCTAAGTGATTCATATACACACCAGCAGAATGACACAGGGATGGGCTTTGCAGGCAGATAGAGCTTAGTTCAAATCCTGGCTCTGTTTCTTGCCTACTGTGTGACTTCAGATGATTTGCTTAACCTCTCTGAGTTTCCATTTATTGTATAATCATGCTCATCACAATGAAATGTAGGTGGACTCAGATGTGATAACATATATAACACACCAACTATAAAGCAGCAGCTGTGCTTAATTTCACTTATTCATCCCTAAAACTCAGTAAGACAGACACTGTCATTAATTAGTTTGAGAAACATACAACCTGGAAACACAAAGAGACTACCTTGTCCAAGATCACCTCACTGAAAAATGGTGGAGTCAGGATTCAAACAGAAAGTTGGATCCTAAGATCTGTACTCTTAATACTATTGTATATTACCTCTCTGAAGAGTAGTCTTTTTTATATTGCCTCATGGAAGAATGGAGAAATCAATCAATTTATTTTTTTTAGCACTTTTGAGATTCTAAAATTAGAAGTTTTAACGCAAAAAAAAAAAATTCTGAATAGTGCCTGCCATCTCCCAGGATTTTTGTGTTTGCCTTTGTTTTTACTATGAACCAGACATTTCATTCAGAAAACTTTATTACTCATAGAATCTACTGACAGGTCTTTGGGGAATGGGAAAGAGGAGAGCTAGGAGTCTTGCCATATGTAAAATTAAATTAATGTCGTTGCTTTGCATATGCTTTTAGGTCAGAAAGCCACCTCTCCTCGCACTGCAATGTACCTGCTCATTGCGTATATGCATCTCCTCCTCCTTCTCCTCTCGTTTTATGGTTCTAAGGTAGAGCCAAGACTTGTTCCCTATTTCTGCAGCAGACTTGTCCTTGAAATAGTAAGTTGCAGATGCAGATTCATCTCTATAACACAAAGAAAATTAATTACTGATGTGTGAGTTTCCGATCCTCATCTGACCCAGGTTCCTCAACTCCATCTTTGACTCAACTTCCTTCTGGTCTTTTGACTTTCCTTTCTTCCTCCACTCTACATTTTCTTGTAAATTAAAGAGGACCCCCAAGGTCAAATGACTTTTTTGTCTATTGTCGAGTTATGGGACAACCCATTCTATCATCAGAATTCTGGGAGTCAGTGTTAGCTCTGATGGACACTCACTCAGGAATCAAATCCTCGCACTGCCACTCACAAGCTGTGTGACTTTGGGCAAATTAGCTGTTCTCACCTCCATTTTCTTCTTGTTCAAAACAATGATAATAGTGGCCATCTCACAGAATTGATATAAAGTCTTAATGAGATGGTGTATGAGAGTCACTTAGTACATGGCACACAATAAACACTCTAGAAATGTTAGCTGTCTTTAAAGTCTCAACAATCTAACTCAGTCTGCTTTTTTTTCTCATTATGTAGCCATAGTAGAAAATTCCATCAACATTTAAAATAAACTTTTATGAGAGTTAGAAGCATACTTATAGGCACCAACATTCCCTGTATTTGGCTGAAGAGCCCAGTTGCCTCAGGTGACATACCTGTGTTCTACAGCAGCAACTATAAACCCATGAGATGCCAGGTCAATGCCAATAGCAGAATAAATTGTCCTTCAAAACAAAAAGAGGGAAGCATTACAACCACCAGTCATGATCGCAAGGCTGAGGCCACCAGAAAAACTGGGAACATGGAGCAATTATACTCCCGTAGTAATGCCCTGGGTGGAGTGTAGAGCTGTTTTCTCTGTGGTTCTCAAAGGAGGGTGATATTATCCCTTAGGGGATATTTGACAATGTCTGGAAGTATTTCATGATCATGAATGGGGTCAGGGTGCGAGTGCCATCTAGTGGGTAGAGGTATATTGTTAAACATCCTACAATGTACAGGACAACCCTCCACAACGAGAAATTATTTGGTCCAAAATGTCAACAGTACTGAGGATAAGAAACTCTGGTGCAGTGATTATAAATACTGTTTCTGACAAGTTCTGGGTTCTAAACTTGGCTTTGCCACTTAACAGGTATAAGATTTTAGGTCACTACTGAATTTTTGTTCTCATCTATAAAATGGAACTAAGAATAAAACCTTTGTTTTAGGATAGTTGTAAGGTTTTGATAAGATAATATATATAGGAAAGCAGCACAGTATGGTAGTCGAGAGAGTGGGACCTGCAGTCTGACCACTGAGTTTGAATCCTGGTTCCACCACTTCTTAGCTGTGTTTCTTGGATAAGCCACATATCTTTTCTGCCTTGGTTCCTTGTCTGTAAAATGGTGATGCTATCTATAATAGTAGGGTACCTCAGAGGTCAGGATCAAGTGAGTTTACACATTTTCAATGTTTATAACCATATCTGAAACAGGGTAAATACTTAACACATGTTAACTGTTATTTATATGATTGGACTCGGTAAAAAGGTTGAAAATCCATGTGCTAAGCAACTGCATTTATACCTCTTCCCTGTCTTCATTCTACACAATCGTTCTCTCATATCACATATTCAATGTCCACATACAGTAAGAGGTAGCTGGGACCTAAGCCTTCTATTGCAGAAGATGTAGGACCATTTCAGGTCCTATACAGGGTCTAGTACAGGGATGAGCAAACCTTTTCTGTTGAAGGCCAGAGAGTAAATATTTCCAGCTTTGCAGGCCATACAGTCTTTGTCACCCACTACTCAATTCTGCTAGTGTGGCATGAAAGTGGACACGGACAATGTAAAAAAATGAATGGGTGTGGCTTTGTTTCAATGAAACTCTATAAATATAGGCAGCAGGCTGAATTTAGCCCTTGAATTCCAATTTGCCAATCACTTATGTAAGATAAATCAAGTAACTAGCTAGGCTACAATTAAAATACTGAAGATAATTATTTATGGCAGGTGCTACCCAACTTCTTCCCAGCTAAAAGCCACCTTTTATTTCCTTCTATCCCTAAGGTAGAAGAAGGGAAGACAGTTGAGAAGATGGCAGAAGAAAGTGAAGAGGGTATGGTTGTGGTGAAAATGTTACTTGGGTGCCATGCTGCAGAGAGCAGAGCTTACTAAAGTCCCCATACAGCTCCTGCCCCTCTGGATCCATCCCCAGATTCAAGTGGAAGCTCAAATTCCTGTGAACTGCTCCCACGGACTTGGCACAGCCTGCGTATTAACAAAGACCAATTCCTGTGAGATGCAGGACACTTAACAAGCAACTTTGGGTCAAGCACCTCTCCACTGGCCTGGTCCAATCTTTCTTAGAAATGTGCTGTAGTCTGAGAGTCTTCTTACCCAATTCTTCTCCCTTCCTCATTTCCTTTCTAGGTATCCAACCTGCATCATAGTCTGAAGGCTCTTCCCATTTTTTCCTGTACCTTCTCCTCTACGCTTCATTGATATTTCTCTTAATCAATGTCTTTCACAGCTAATGCAATCTGGGTGTCTACTTCTTGAAAGACTCAAACTACACAGAGGATGATTTTGAGAGTATAAATGTTATAATATAGAAAGACAATAAGCAAAAATGCAACACTCTCTCTTCTCTGTTGTGAAGTTAGTCCCCATGAGCTGGAAGGAGGGGGAAAAAGCTACAAAACTTGGCTAGGACTGATCAACAGACCACAGCCAATTATTAAGGAACCCCAACTTCTCCAGGACAAGGGCCAGCATGACATTCCCAAACCTTCTATTTCTTTAAAAAAAAAAAGTAGCCAGGCTTGGTGGCTCAGCTTGTAATCCTGCACCTTTGGGAGGCTGAGGTGAGTGGAT